TTTTCTCTCTAAAGAATTCCAAGGTATAGATCTATTTGTTTAGTTGTTACACACACACACACACACACACACACACACACACACACACATTAATCGAGACTACTTCATCTAATACTGGAAAATATTCATTTGAAGGAATGAATTTTGTCATAAAACGTTCAAGACAAAGAACAGTAGAACCTGGTGCTAAAGCAGTATGTACCCATTTGGAATAAGGAGCATGCATGCACACATGTGCCTTTGAGTACGTATGAATGTGGGCGGGTATGCGTTATTGGAAAGAAAGGACATGAGAAAGTGTGGGAGAGGGCCTCTAAGATAACTTTCGGCTTCTAGCATTTTGGAATTGCCTATCGCCCTCCAAATCCTGAAAGTAGTTTCTCCTATATCTTTCTTACCTAAATTCGGATTTTGAAGTCAAGACTTCACTACAGCTAAATAAACAGGTTTCCTTTTTCACTTACTTCTGCCTAATATAAACAAGGAAGTAAACAATAAAATTTACTTAGAAACAAGGGCAGCTAGAAAAAATACAACTACATAAATCGCCTAAACACTTTTATGGTATTCACATTCTTGGAGACATGGTCATTATGTTCTCCTAAACACTTTTATGGTATTCACATTCTTGGAAACATGGTCATTATGTTTTAAATTTAAATCTCAAGTCTAAAGGTCTAAAGGTCTCTTTTATCCTTGGAACCCAATGAATACACATAGTCTTCTATATATACCTCAGAGTGAAACATAGCAGTGGCATAAAAAACTCCTGAAGTGTATTTTTCTTTAGTAGTATGTAAATTCATGTCAAACCAGGCAGGTGAAAAACAGAACTGGTAACCTCAAGTAACATAAGGGTGTAACACAGTTGAACGTAAATGATGCTCTCAGTACTCCACCTCTAAGATAATCATAAGCTGGAGAACATGTTCTGTATCTTCTTCCTCTTCTTCCAGGTCATATGATATGGTAAATGTCAAGTGTCCTCCTACTGCTGGGAGCTACAAGAGAAAAGATGCAGAATCATTGCATGACAGGAGATGGGCTATTTAATCACATTTAACCTATTATTTTATAACATTTTTATTGTTCTAGGAGGAAGTATTTGGAAGAAGCAGAAATCACTGTAGTGCACAGTGGGAATGATAAACATTTATTAGGTTATTAGGAGTAACCTTTATATGAATCTTACCCATCAATTGCAAGCCCAACATATGTATATATTCATGTATTATTTCCCCCAGTATTGTAGGCTTGCTGAAAGAGGTTAAGTTCCATGAAACCAAACACAGACTCTCCTGCCATCTTTTTAGTCCATAGTTCGAGCCGTATAAATCCCAATCAGAGGAGGATCTTTATCAAAATTGGGAGATTTCTACTCATCCCTGAGGGTCACTCAACTTTCTGTGAGTCTGAATGCTTTCAACAAAGACATCCTTCCATTTGACACTTTACATAGCCCATAAGCTAAGCTGAGAAATGTTGTTGGTCAAAGAAAAATAAAAGGTTAGCAGTAAATTTTATATTATATTAAAATGCAATACATACTGCCAAAGAAGGTACACTTTCCCCTGTGCAATCAAATAAGCTTAGTTGGAATAAATTTTATCCCCCTTTCATTAAGCAAACTTCTTTCCTTCTAACACACATGCCAAGCCCCATACAATGTATGCTTGAGGTTTGCATTTTCTGACATTGACAGTCACCTTGTAAACATTTTTTTAAAACATGGGAAAGCAAGATCATTTATAGGACAGGAATCAAAATTGAAGTTGTGAGTGACAGTCAATGCAAATGCTGCAGTCCTTTTT